TGCTTTCAAAGAATCAATCAATTGAATGGATCTAAGTAAGCAAATGAGAAGATCAAGTAGAATTTTTACTTGGAATGGAAAGAAAACTAAAAAGCATAAATAAGTAAGCAACTTACCTTGAAGGCTTTAGAGAGAAAAGTTGGTGATGAAGAGAACACTTGTTGGAGTTGAAGGAGAAAGAAAAAAAAATGCTGAGTTGACGCGACAGTGACATGGTGAGACTAAGATCTAAGTCTAAGATGATGTTAAAGACTAAAGAGAAAAGTTGGAGTCAAAGCTTGAAAGTCAAAAGTTATATGAACTATGGAGGTTGAAGAATATGAGAAGAGTTTGAACTTTGAAGAGTTAGAGTATTAAAGAGTATTAGAGCAAGTAAGAATAGGAAAGGTCAGTAGGTGAGTCATGAGTAGAGTTGGATTATTTTTGTTTCTAGAAGATGATGAGCTAAGAGAATCAATTAGATAATTAGGGAGAATTAGTCAATTATTAGATGTTTTGATAGGATTGAGAATTGGAAAACAAAATAAATAATTAATAAATTAAAAAATTTTAAAATTTCAAACAAGAAAACATGTTAAGCCCATTAACCTGATGAGTTAACCCGTTGTTGACCCATCACTATTGGAAAACTAGGCAAATACGACAAAACATATTCGACAGCCTGTTGGCTGTCGAATATAAACACATATTCGACAAAAATACTGTCAAATATGGTTCATTGTCAATTATAATCGATTTTTTTGTTCTTATTCGATAGAAACCATATTTGACAGAAGAGTTGTCGAATATGTCCCCATATTCGACAAAAATTCTTCTGTCGAAGATGTATAATCGACACCCACTAGGCTGTCGATTATGTTTTAAGATATTCGACAGCATTGCTGTCGAATATGTAGGAAACGATGATGTTTCCTCTATATATTCAACAGCAATGCTGTCAAATATACTCAATGATTAACCCCCTGACCCCCTTTTCTTTCCCCATTTCTTCTTCTTCCTTTGTGGTGATCTAGTTTGTTTTCTCTGGCCCTATCCTTGCCGTTGCAGTCGATATTCTTGCTTCTTGCCATCGAGCCCCCTACTATTGGAATATCCCGCCAGTGACGTTGTCGGTGAGTTGGCCCCTCTCCTGCACAGCGATCTGGTTTTTTTTTTTTTCATTGGATGTACAGTTGGCATTTGCATATTTCCTTATAGGTCCGTGCCTTTTGGTCCAACATCCATCACCTCTAAGCCACCACGCACCTCCATCGTGCCTTTTGTAAGTTGCAGCACTCTCTGTTTTTTTTTT